GAAGGTGGAAAGGAGTGTAAGGACAATGCGGGGATAATAACCGATTGGTCAGGGAAGGCTGATTAAAGGATGAGCTTGGTAATCAATCTAAATGGGGATTGACCGGAGAGCTCCGAGAGGCCGGAGCGGTGAAATAAAAGGGGTTGAAAGTGCATGGATATAACACAGGTCAGAGACGTGTTCAAGACCGCTGTGATAAGGACCGCGACGCTACGACGTGAACTGGGGGTGGTGCTCAGGAAGTAGACTTGTCCGGCCTCTAGGGGGTTTGTTGTGAGATTCCGAGGAGGGGGACGTTTGTCGATGCAGAGGTGGTGCGGCACGTCCGTAGGGTCCTGTGTGTGTTAGCAAAAATGGGGGAACTGCGAAATATACCTCCTCGCCGGCGAACGAAGTTTGTGAACTTGTCTCTTCAAACTATCTCCAAAGCTTTGCGCCTTCCTCCTACAATCGATGGTCACGTGACCGAGTCGTCGAATCCTTCCAAGTGGTCGATTCGTTGGTGAACTTGACGTCGATAGAGCTTCGGTGGCGAACTGCTCAAGGTGTAAGGGGTTCCAATAGTTCGGTCGTGGGTGATGTGTTGTGGATATCCTCGAAGTGTTGTTCCCGCTGCTGGTCGATGCAGGAAGGTGTGCAAAGTTCGTGGGCGAGGTATGTGAGCGTGTGCTTAGGTGACTTAAGCTGCAAGAGGGGAACGAGAGTAGTGTCCTAAGACAAAGGTGGCGAAAGGGTGTGATCAATTCTCGAATTGTGGGGTGTAAGAACACTGGGTACAAGTGGGAGGGATCTGACCCCGAGTATGTGATGTCCTAAGTACGCTAAATCGTCCACCTTTTATACCTTTCCCCCCATCAGCCTCGTGTTCAGGTGAAACACTCGCTTCAAGGTTGAGGCGTGGACCTGTGGGATATTATCGCCCAAAACGCTCCAAGGTGCTCTCTCGTTCGCGAAATATTGTGTCGTTCGCCGTCGAGAGACTCTTGAAAGCCAGATTTAGGACTTTTGTCCCGCGATGTGTCGGAATGTCGGCTTTAAACCCTAATTTAGTACCGAGCTGCCCGACCGCTGAGGAGCAAGGCTCGCCCATGGTCGGTGCGCTGCTGGTCGTTGAAATAGCTTGGGAGGTGCAATGCTGAGGTTCGTAGTCTGGATGCCATCATTTTAAGGAGTGGAAGCCCATGCGATGGTGTGTAGGCGCAGGGTGAAGGCGTACAGTAGCCCTTCGTTGGCCGGCGAGGCTCGCTCCAAAGGTCCCAAACAGCAATTGGTGGGTCCATTTGATATTGTAGCGATAAAAGGCAATTACTGAAGCACTCCTGAGGTACAGGGGGCGTCGTCGTTCGTCGTCGAAGCCATGTAGGTATCGTGTATTTTGTGTGTGGTGTCGCTCGTCGCCGCTGGGTGTCGTTCCAGAAGCGGAAACCAAGTTGCCAAATAAGGTGTTCGTCCATAATGAGTGTTTGTTGCCGTTGAGCTGAGCAGCTGTGGAACGAGAGGGCATGCGCAGAGCGCATACAGCCCTCACACCGCTACACCAAAAGGGAGATAATTGATGAGATAGTACTCATCAATTGCGCGCCTATATAAGCACATGGTATTGTTGTAATCGGGCATGATTACACCCTTCCCCTCTCTGGAAAGTTGTGTGGGTAGGTGGGTTTTTCCAGTGGTTCCAGGACTTATAAATCTTCCTCAAGGTTGTGATCCTTGACACTGGCTCGCAAGGTCACATGTTCGAACCGCGTTCAAGACCGCTACACCAAAAGGGAGATAATTGATGAGATAGTACTCATCAATTGCGCGCCTATATAAGCACATGGTATTGTTGTAATCGGGCATGATTACACTTTGAGTGTTTCCGGTGTGTTTTAAGTTGACTCGTGATAAGGGTGTAATGTAGTTAGAAGTTCAAAGTTTTGACTTGTTTACTGCCAAAAGCAGAACCGTGATGTGATGGCGGGCACTGTACATTTGAGAAAGAGGTGCTTGAAAAGGTTGTTGCGAGCCTGAATACAGTTCGAAGGAAAGGGAAGGCCCATATTCATATTACAGAGCTGGCAGAGGATTACTAGGATTTTTTTGGATTTTTTCGCATTTTTGCCGCCTTTTAGGGCCTCTGGCGGGTCCAAAGTCCGGACAAAATTTCTCAGACCCCCAAAATCCGGATCCGACCTATCCACCGATAATCATCGGTCCTCCCAGAGTCCTGTCAGGTTTCGTCAGGCTGATATGAGAAATTCAATATATGTAAGTGCCGGATAATGCCTGTTGCCGTCTGAGTAGCCAAATCGGATTTTCCCAAGAACTACGCACATGCCGCTACAGATGCCCCTCCTCCCTGCCGCTTTGATGAGTACTACAGTCACCTAACTTTCTTGCTCTTTTAAGTGTTCCAACTGAGGAGGAGTAGTAGAAACTTTGCCACCGTTTAAGCCAGGAGTGGCGGGGAATCCCCTTCCCCACCACAAAACCTGCTACCATGCAAAAAGTAGATAGCAAAAGCATTCCAGTTTCACGACAATGGACGAAAAGCCATGAAAATCAAATGATCTGAGACCGAAGTACGTCTATGTACATTGTCTAGATCATGTGTCGAGAGTGATATTTCTAAATTGAACCATGTCCTCGACTCGGTGCCATTGGTCCTTTTATTCCGCTATCCCAGGCTCTTACTCGGAGAAAAGAGGAGTTAAATTAACCTGGTGGTGTGTGGAAGCAGGCCTGCTATTTATGACTTGAGCTTCGAACATTCACACAGGAAATACCCCGTTCGATTTGAATTCGGGGCCAGGTCTCTGCCATTGAAGTCATAATGTTTTCGGCTCGCTCTGCCCATTGATTTTTTTTCTTTTCACGAGGGTATATGTATGATTCTAGCCTGCGCACAAGCATAGATTGGCAAAGATTGCGATGAAGACGAGTCCATAATCATATATGGGGAGTTTACAAAAAATTAACCACATAAGTATCAGGATTGCCAGGTCGGGAAATTCAAGTTCAACCGGCCGCAACGCTCAGGCCCCGATGGGGAATGTTGACACTGCTCCCTCCCGGTGGACATAGCTTCAAGAGTCGAGGCTGCACACGTGTCATTTACAATTCATGTTTTTTTTTCGCAGGCTAGTTTGAGCGCTATGCGCCTTCAACTTTGCGCTCAACAAAGGTCTGTACTGTACAATGTACTTCCTTCTGCCAGACTTGCACATTATTCTGTATCCACAACTCGCTCTGACTTCTCCTGTCGTGGCAGGATGATTATTGTTTTGCTTATAATCAAATGGAACCATGTCCTCGACTTGGTGCCGTTGGTCTGTTCATTCCGGTATTCCTGGCTCTTACCAGCGGAAAAGAGAAGTTAAATCGACCTGGTGGTGTGGAAATAGACCTGCTATTACTTATAATGTCCCCATCAACATTCATGCAGGAAATACCCCGGGGCCAGGTCTCTACTATATACGTAAAACACTTTTGGCTCACTTCACGCACTGATTTTTTTTTTCATTGCTGAACCTTTAGGTTTGGCTGCCCAGGAGAACATCGATTTTGCGTATCAGTTTTTGATCTGTTTGTCATGAAGAATTGGTCATCACAAGAAAAATTCAAAAGCAAGTGGGGAAAGAGAAAATAAGCAATGAAAACAGAAACATATTTTTCCAACCTTCCTTCTGCTTCCAATTCCTGCGTGCTAGCTCGTTTCATTCACAGAAGGCGATGCAATTCTGTTAAGTTCAATTTTGGTCATTAGTCATTTCTGCTTGATGTTCGGGTCAGTATCCGTTGACGTGGGATTTTCGGACAACGTCCGAAGTTCAGACGTTGTTCGGACGCGGAGAGTGATTGGCAAATATTTCTGAGTCTCCAGCGACATCTTTGCTTGCTACTCCTAGTCTCCATGTTGGTTCTTGCTACATAACAAGTGTAGGGCTGGTAGAGCCCACTAACTTGGGACTGATTCAAAATGATTTTTTCCCGTACAAATGGACCCCAGTTTTGCAAGCCGAATCTCAAGGACTCCCGCTCTGGTACCCCCTGTTAAATCGACTCGGGAATATTCTGAGAAGCTAATAGGACTATCAGGGACATCCAGAAATGTGTTCCTGGTTCAATTCTTCTTTTTCGGTACAAATACATGCCATTTTTACAGATCTATCATAACAACCATACATCAAACAAACAGAACCTCAGGGACTCCCACTTTGGTAATCCCCATTAAATCGGCTCAGGAATATCCAGGGGAGTTTATGGGATGGTTATTGATGTCCAGAAATGTGTCCATTGTTCGAATAATTTTTTTCGGTACCAGTGCACCCCAGTTTTGCAGATCTATCAGAGCAATCAAACATCAAACAAAAAGAATCTCGGGGACTTCCACTCTGGTACCCCGCGTTCAATCAACCTATGAATATTCAGGGGAACTAATATGCTTCTCATTAATGTTCAGAAATATCTTCCTGGTTCAGAAAAAAAATACACAGCAGGATATACAGTATGTATCATGTTTACTGGCTTGAGCCTCACTTTTGTTCGGAACTCTTCATTGGAGCTTGGTGCATCTAAGTTTTGAAGAGGTGAGCAGACAGTTCACTGGCGCATCGACCTAAAGGTTCAGCACCCGCCTCGAACGAAGAGGCCTAATCCCATTCATGAAGGCACATATATGAGTTCAGCCTCCACAAAGATTACGATGAAGACGAATTGAGATAATCATAGGTGAGAGGTCTACAAAACTTCAGCCATGAAAGTATTGTGATTAGCAGGTCGGGAATTTCAAGTTCAACCGGCCGCAATGTCCAGCCATGGATACGGAAGGTCAATGCTGCTCCCTCCCGGTGGATGTAGCATCAGGAGTTTGTAACTTAAGTGTGATTGTAATTGGTGCTCACGTTGATTTGCTCTGCATCCTAGATGTAAATGGGGATGCGGAGAAAAGTCCAGGTTGATTGGCTGTAGACTGGTGGGAGGATATGTAAATGGACAACTGATCCCTGTGCAAGTGTGGCCTGGTGGTGTAATGGTAACACATCTGCTTCAATTGACACAAACTGTTTGCGGTACGCGGGAGTCCCTTGTTCAATTCAGGGCTAGGCCATCTTTTTGTGCTCTTTTTCTTTGAGTTCTGCTGTCATTCTTGCTTCAATGTTGTAATTGTGATTGTAATTGGTGCTCATGTTGATTCATTCTGCATCCTACATGCAAATGGGAATGGGGAGAAAAGTCTGGTTGATTAGGATATTACATTGGACTGAGTAGGAGGATATATTGGCAGAAATGGACAGATAATTCTAATGTGGCCTGGTGTAGTGGTGACACTGTAAGAAATTGAACGGGCGCACTGGAGTCGGTGGGAGTCCCTTGTTCGATTCAGGGTCGGGTCAATTTTTTTTCTTTTGGCTTTGCTGTCATTACTACTTCGATGTTGCTGTTTTAATGCTGACATTGATTCATTCTGCTTTTTATTCAGAGAGCCTGCGAGTATGTAGATGCCAACAGGAAAGAATAAAAGTAAGTTAAGAGATTCCTGTGGACAGGGTGGGAGGAGACACAAATGAATCACTGATTGATGTGAGGAAATGACCTGGTGGTGTAATGGTAACACATCTGCTTTGATTAACCACGAATTGTTTCCACTATGCAGGAGTCCCTTGTTCGATTCAGGGTCGGGTCATTGTTATTTCCTCCCTTTTTTTTCGGTTTTGCTGTCATTCCTGCTTCGACGTTGTCATTGTAATCGTAATTGGTGCTCAATGTTGATTTGTTCTGCAAAATGGGAATGGGGAGAAAAGTGCGGTTGATTTGGACCATAGATTGAGTGGGAGCCCTGGAGGATACATAAATGAACAGCTGATTTCTGCATAGATGTGGCCTGGTGGTGTAATGGTAACATACCTGTAAGAATTTGAAATGGTAGAACAGACTTAGCAGGAGTTCCTGGTTCGATTTCGGGTTGGGCCATTACTCGTTTCCACCTTTTTTCTTTCGGTTTTGTTGTCATTCCTGCAGCCTGCTTCAGCATTACTCGTTTAGTACTCACATCGTTGATTCTTGTCTTTTATTCAGAAGAGCCCAGATGCAAACAGGAATGGGGAGAAAAGTCTGGTTAATTAAGATATTACATTAGGAGGGTACATAAATAGACAGCTAATTCTTGCACAGATGTGACCTGGTGGTGTAGTGGTAACACACCTGCAAGAATTTGAGCAAGTAAAATGAGGTTAGCAGGAGTGCCTTGTTTGATGCGAGGTCAGGCCAAATTTTAACCCACTTTTTATCTTTTTCATCTCGTGCTTGGGGGAATGGGCTTTGAATTTTCAAGTAGGTGCCTTGGTCTGAGGTAGTCTCTAGACCCACTTCGCCGTTTTATTGAACGATCAAGGCACCCAGCGATAAGCGATAATCAGATTAGATTTACCTAATACGTATTTGGCGTTGTTGACGTCGGCGGCGGCGCGTCAACTCTGTCTTTGCGCGTCTACCTACAGATCTGCTACCACCATCCACATCCCACTCGACGACCAGCTACCTTGGGCGTTCATAGCGAGGGAAGGAGGACAGAAGCGCCCGTCTGCGAGCGGCGTGACATAGCGGGATCGGGATTCAGGAGCAGTCTCCGCGAAACGACAGAATTTGGATTCAGAGTTCAGGTGCGTGATATCCTACGACATACGGCTCATTGCCAACTACTCTCTATTCCAGTAAAAACGCGATGGGCAAGAAACGGCAGCGGAACCGCAACAGCGGGGGTCCGAACACGGTGTTTTATCCCAGTAAAGACGCGGAGGATGAGGATGATGAGGGTGGAGAGGCGCCGGACGCGCTGACTGCTGCGGCGCTGGCGGCGACGAGCGAGCTGCTGGCGACGGCGAAGGAGCTGTACCGGTCGCTGGGGGGTGGAGCGGAGGACGGGGACGAGGGGGACGAGGGGTACTGGCGGGGGCTGCCTGCGTCTGTGCGGGCCGGAGTGCGGGAGGCAGCGGCGGTGCTCACGGAAGCCGGGCTCACGCAGGACCGGAGCTTGCCGGGCGGAATTCAAACTCCGCGATCAGCTGCTGACCAATACTTTTCACCGTCGTTGTCCACCGCTCCGAGTCCCACCAGCCCGGCCGACAGCGACATCCCACCCAGCCCCGACGTCGCCCAAGACATCCCCGCCGCCGTCGTCCACAGCAGCGAGAGCAGCCCCGTCGCCCCCGTCCACAGCCACAGCAGCAGCAGGAGGATGGCACCGCCGCCGCCGCCGCCGCCCTCCAGCGTGTCTATCGGCAAAAAACCGATGGCGTACCAGCAGCAGCAGCAGGCTCCCGCCGCGCCCCCAGCCCGCTCCGCCCGCGCGGCAGGCAAGGCCGCGGCGTACCCACCCGCACCCGGCACACCCGCCGACAAGGGCGCCGCAAAGGGCAGCAGCAACGCCAGCAATAATAATAACAACACCAGCAATAGCAGCAGTAACAACAACAAGATTTGGAGCACGAGCAGCAGCGAGGAACGTGAGCGGATCCGCGACTTTTGGCTCGCGCTGGGGGAGGAGGAGAGACGGGATCTGGTGAGGGTGGAGAAGGATACGGTGCTGAGGAAGATGAAGGAGCAGCAGAAGCATTCGTGCTCGTGCGCCGTGTGTGGGCGGAAGCGGTGGGTTCTTTGTTCCTTGCCATCTCCGTTCCTTCATATCGTCTCTCCACTTCTATCCTCTTTCACCCGTAACCCGATCCAATCTCATCCCACCCACCCCCAGGAACGCAATCGAAGAGGAGCTCCAAGTCCTCTACGACGCGTACTACGAGGACCTCGAGCAGTACGCGCTCTACCAACAGCAGTACCTCTCCTCCAACCGGACGCTCCCGCCGCCACCTGGCCCCGGCCCGTTCCCGGGCAGCGTGGAGGTCGATCGGTATGGGAGCGTCGTGGGGTACAGCCCGCATACCGCGCCGCTCGCGCATAGCCACCCCAGCGCAAATCCCGGGGTGAATGGCCGAGGCGGAGGCGGCGGGGGGAAAGGACGCAGGGCGCGCGCGCGGGGGCGGGGGAACACCAACGCCAACCCGAACGCCAACCCGAACGCCAACGGGGGGCGGAAGAAAACACTTCCTCCGCCGCCCACAGAGGAGGATGACGTGTACGAGGAAGAGGAGGAGGAAGAGGAGGAGGAGCCGGACGCCGACGCCGACGACGGGGACCCCGACGCGGACGATTTGGACGCGGACGATTTGGATGCGGAGGACGGGGATCTGGATGCGGAGGTGGGGCTGCGCAGCCCGCCGCCTGCGCCGCTTCCGAATGGGAATGGGGGTGGGAGGGGACGGGGCGGGGGGCCGCCTGTGCAACCGCAGCCGCAGCGCGGGGGGCGGGGAGGCGGAGGCGGAGGAGGGAGGGGCGGCGTGGATATGAAGGGCAAGATCGCGGCGGGGGTGGGCGCGGGGGTTGGCGGTGAGTCGCGTTTTCGCGTTTTCTTCCCTCCGCTTTCCCTTTCGATTGCATTTCGGTTTTCTTTCGGTTTTCGTGGGCTTTTTTTTTTTTTTTTCCATTTTCGTTCTACTTTACTTTTCTTTCCTTCCGTCTGGTTTTTTTCTGCATCCCGCCAGCGCGGCGATGGCGATGTGCTGGCCAGCACCACCCCCCACTCACTACCACTTGGTCGCGTGCCACGTCGGCTATATATAGCGCTGGCGCCACTTTTTTCGATTTCCCATCCCTTCGCCCCGCGTCTTTCCGATGAAAACACCTCTGCTCCCCGTTCCCCCGGTCCCAAATTCCCGTCCCATGTACCCCTCCCTCCTTCCGTCCTCCTTCGCCTTCCTTCCCCCCTTCTATCTTTCCTTTCCTTCCCTTTTTCTTTTCCTCTTCCATCGAAACCCCCATTCATACCCATCCTCCGCACTCACGAACACGACACTGACGCCCCCACGCCACAGGCCCGACCTCGATCCTCACCGTCGCGGACGACCTGCTCAAGAACGACGGGCAAAAGTTTTTGGAGATGATGGAGCAGTTGGTGCGTTTTTTTTTCGTTGTTCGCGTTTTTTTTTTGCGGAGGATTGCGATGGCTTGGAAGGCGGTTTTTTGTTTGCGTTTCTATGCGGAGACCGAGGATTGCGATGTCGGTTGCGCGTCTAATCTCGTGCGTCCCCACGCGTCGAGGCCGTCCTCGATCTCGCACAAAAAGACTCGCGACGCCCAACCCCATGCGGGCGTGCCTGTGTTTTTTGGGGCTGCCTTGATGTTTGACGACGTTTTTTGCGCCGATAGTTTCTTCTCGTGTGTGGGTTTCGTTCGCAGGGTTGGGTCGTGTATTTCGTTTCGTTGCTCGTTTTATGGAGACGGAGGTGGCGCGCGGGGAGCGCGAGGGAGGGGTGTGGGTTTCAGCGTGGGCTCAGCGTTCCGCGGCGACGAGCGGAGGTTGCCCCGAATAGAGGAGACGGGGTCCTTTTTGAGGCGGCCGAGGAGCGAGTTTGGGTGTCTCCTTCTGGTCTTTCGTTTCTGCCGCCCTGCGCACTGGCTGGCGCCCTCTCGCTCTTGGTTGGCGTCAAGCTACCCGCTCCGGGGCTGCGTTATTCCGGCGTTTTGTTGGGGATGGGACATGGGCTTGCTCTCGTTGTCTTGGTGGTGCGACGAAAACGAAAAGCGTGTTACGTCGCGGAGTTGTGCTGCCGATGCTTCCTCTTAACTTCGCACACATCTTCTCTCTTGGCCCTTTTCTTTGTTATGTATATTATCAAACGGAGAACGGACGCTGACTCATTACTTTGCTTTTTTCTTAGGCGGAGCGTCGGATGGCGCGTGAGGAGGAGGCGGCGGGGGGCGTGAGTGGGGATGAGGTGCGTTTCCGTTTTGCGTTTCCCTTTCTACCCTTCCCCCGCTTTGAATTGACCCGTTTCTTTCGACAGGACGATTCCTCCTCGGGCTCGCTCGACGGGGATGCGTCGGACGGTTCGGACGACGGGTCGGAGGGGGACGAGGGGTCGGATGGGGAGGACGACGAGGAGGGGGAGAGCGGGGACGACGATGGGGAGGGGGATGATGAGGACGATGAGGGGGAGAGCGAGAGTGGCGGGGAGGAGGTGTGTTTTGTTTTTGTTTTCGGGTCATATCGTCTGCGATGTGCTTCGCCTCCCTCCATGTTCATGTCTTTTTTCTCCTCCTTCCGCTGTTCTCCCGATCACGATGCTGACGCTCCACCCTAGGTAATGACGGAGGAGCAAAAAATGGAGGAGGGCAAACGCATGTTCAGCATCTTTGCGGCGCGGATGTTTGAGCAGCGCGTGCTGCAGGCATATCGCGAGCGCGTGGCGCAGGAGCGGCAGGTGGGTTTTCTGTATCTTCATCCTTGACGCCGCCACTGATACGATTGACTCGCAGCTGCAACTCCTCCGAGAGCTCGAGGACGAGGACGAGCGGGAGCGGGAGAAGGAGGCCAAGAAGCAGACGCAGAACCAGAAGAAGAAGGATAAGCGTCGGTCAGTGTCCTTTCAGAACTATGTGTGAATTGGAGTTGATGGTGTTTTTGTGCGTGTAGGCAACAAAAGCAGGCCAAGGAGGAGAAGGAGGCGCAGAAGGCGGCGGAGAAGGCTGCTGAGGAGGCGGCGGCCAAGGCGAAGCAGGCCGCGGCGGAGGAGGAGCAGCGCAAGCGGCGTGAGGAGGAGCGTGTAAGGCGCGAGGCGGCGCGCAAGGCGCAGGAGGAGGAGAAGGCTCGCAAGGAGGAGGAGAGGCGGAAGCGCCTTGCGGAGGAGAAGGAGAAGGAGGCGGAGCGTGAGCGCAAGCGGCGGGAGAAGGAGGAGCGCACCAAGGCGGAACGGCGGGACCGGGAGGAGCGCGAGCGCAAGTCGAGGGAGGAGCGTGAGGCCAAGGCGGCGAAGGAGCGCGCGGCGCAGCTCGCAGCGGCCAAGGAGCGCGAGGAGAAGGAGCGTGAACGGAAGAAGGCGGTTAAGGAGAAGGAGGAGAAGGAGGCCAAGGAGAAGGCG